TCCACACAACTGGATCTATAAATAACATTATGATAAATGGAGAAAAGATTGTTGTCAAAGACTTTGTTTTGTTTAAATCCACTATTAACACTCATGGAAGCGGCAATCAAGAAATCAAAAGACACATTGAATTATGCAAGTCTGCTGAAAAGATCTCTTTAAAGTGACTTTAAAGTGACAAGTATGTCACTTAGAGTACGCCTGACCCAAGCCATGGCATTTTCAATCACCTTATATGCATGTGAAAGTTGGACAATGAAGACCAGAGAAGAATTGATGCATTTGAATTATGGTGTATGAGAAGAATATTGAAAGTACCATCGACTACCAGTAAAAGAAACATGTCTTGGAAGAAGTACAGCCAGAATACTCTTTAGAAGACAGCATGGCAAAATTTTCTTTCTCTGGTGAGTGACTAGTCTCTGGGGAAGGACATAATGCTTGGGAAAGTAGAGACTCGATGGAAAAACAGGAAGATCTCCAACAGGATTGAATAACACAGTGGAACAATGGGCTCAAATATAATTGTGAGGATGGTGTAGGATCGCAGTGCTTTTTCTGTTGTGCTTGAGTTGGAACCAACTTAATGGCACCTAACGACAATGGAAAACTGATTAGATATATAAACATAAATGTGAATTGGGAATCTTAATTTAAAATGAATTCTGTCTGAATCTGAATACCACTACTGAATATTAAGAAAAAGTAACAAATTTCACAAATTTTGAATTTATCTAAAACTTTAAGGACTCCTGGTTTAGAGCTGTTGGACTTGCACTGGACTGCAAACCATAAGGCCAGCAGTTCAAACCCACCAGCGGCTTCTTTGAAACCATCCACAGGGTTGCTATGAATTGGAACCAACTTGATGGCACTTAACAACAAAACATTAAGATCTTTGAGTGAGGATTTTACAGTAAGAACCACTTAACTAATGATGAATTCACTGGGGAAGATAATTTGCAGCTATAAAAAGGAAAAATGTGTTTGAATTTCACTTTTAAAATTGTTCATTTAATACTTTTGCCTAATATGTAGAGGCACTGTTTCTTATGCTTGAGATACATGGAAAAAACCAATAAACAAAAAACAGTCCAATACTATTGCCTTCACAGAGGCTTTTCTACTTTTATTAACTTGAAGACCCTTAATAGGAAGGTAGACAGAAAATTGACTCTTCCATGGTATTTTCAATACCTCATTTGCACGTGAAAGTTGGACAATGAGTAAGGAAGACCATAGAAAAATTGACGCATTTGAGTTATGGTGTTGAAGAATATTAAAGATACTATGGGCTGCCAGAACAAACAAATCTGTCTTGGAAGAGTTAGAACCAGAATGCTTCTTAGACGTCAAGATGACCAGACTTTGTCTCTCATATTTTGGAAATATTATGAGGGACCAGTCCCTGGAGAAGGACATCATGCTTAGTAAAGTGGAGGGACAACGAAAAATAGTGACCCTCCTAATGAGATGAATCGGCCCAGTGGCAGCAACAATAGGCTCAAGCATATCAATTGAGAGAATGCTGCAGGACTGGGCAGTTTTTAATTCTGCTGTATAGAAACAGGCTGGATGATGCTTAACTACAGGGTGTTTAGATGGGGTACCTATCAGCCAGAATAAGAGACTGTGATGTGCTAAGGAGGAACAACACAGCAGCGGGTGAGATAATTAATGATTAGAGCAATCCATGGTTTATAGTTGATGGGATATTATGAAGAGGTATTTCTTGAGCCTACCCAGTAGAGAAAGCAGATAAAACCTGAGTGCCCAGTCATGGGACCTGATCACCTAGTCTCCTAATAAATGATTCAGGCCACCTGGGGGAATTGATTGGATCCTCTTTGGTGCCTGACCCTGAATTTAATACCAAATTCAATAATGTTTGTAAAAGACTATATTTTTTAAAAGGACAGGGTAATGATTCTGTAAGAAAAAGTTTTTGAAAAAAAATCAAGACAATTATTTTAAAAGAATAGAAGACTTGTTTTATATTATCAAATATTTAAAAAGGTGATGTTGTGATTCTCAGAGTTCAATACTAACTGGACCAATAGCCTGCCTTCACAACGGCTTCTCTGTATGTGTAACTATATTTTCTTGTATCTTATATGCATTTTCTTGGTAAGGTTGCTGGCAGCTCTCGAGTACCTCTAGGGACACTAACTTGTGATGTCATGCCATTTCTAAAATCGTAGGACTGAATTTTCTAAATTCATTCAAATACCCTTATTTAAAACATTCAACCTCACATCAGGATGGATTATTTTGGTCCAGATGAGTTATGTAACAGCCCAGATGTCACAAAGTGAGGACCTGTTGGAAGAATGTGGGGAAAGGGTAATGAGCAACAATATGTAATATTTTACTATAGGAATAAGATTATTTAAAATCAGTGGGAAAGGAGTGAAATAATCAAATTGTATATGGATCATTACCTATCCTTCTGGGAGAAAAAAATGTCAGCTTATGATTATTATGATATAAAAGGAAGTATCAGATATATGGAGAGCTTTACTTTACATGCAGTTTAAGATGGTGGACGTTTTGCTATACCAGTACAATCATGGATCCAGATAGCAAGAGAGGCAATCTGGACAGTAAATGTCTAACCAGCACATTGATTCCTGTCTCTTACTATATGACTCAGATAGTATGATCAACAGCCATGATGTTTATATAGTTCTCAGCTCCAAAGAAGAATGCTTTTAATCTGTCAGTCTGTAATTTTCCAACTGGCAGACCAAACTGATCACTGGCAACAATCAAATCAATAAAAATATGTTTAAGGGAAATATTGGCCATAGCCAAGAACACTCACCCTTGTATTCCACCTGACAGGAGTGACCACATCTACTTTTGGTTCTACATACAGACACTGAGGTTGAACATCCCAATGATTTCAACTTAGCCTTAGCTTTAGTTCAGGCAATTAAGTGGGAGCCCCTCAAAGGAGCAGATATTCTTTTTAATGAATAACTGAGATAATGACAGGGCAGGGATAACTGTACTCTAGAATCATTTCACAAGCAAGGCTTGTTGGGTCCTTCTCACTGTGAGTACAAATAATAAAAAATTGGAATATGAAGAAGCCAGAGGTCTCTCTGAGTTATATGTCTAATGTCTAAAAGAGACCAAGAGTTAGTTAAAAAGATATTTTTCAAAAAGGGTATACCAGGTAGCTCTGACAGGGAATCAAATTAAGCCATCCCTCTTCTGCAAGGCCTTTTACCAGAGGTGCCAATCAACAAAATCACTAGATACAGAGACTTGAAATTCACAAGGATCATCAGGGTTGTAATTGCTCAAAAGTATTTAGTTATACGCAACTCCTCCTGATAAGAATTCTTCTTTGTTGTTAAGTGCCACTGAGTGGTTCTAACTTACAGGGACCCAGCATAGGGTTTCCAAGAAGTGGCTGGTGGGTTACAACCACCAACCTTGCAGTTAGCAGTCCAGTGCTTATCTTACAGCACCACACCAGTACTCCTTTGGAAGAAGCATAGCATGGACCACATTAACCCCTACTATGCTTTCAGTCTTGGGTGTGACACTGTAGGATAAAAACTGGATTGCTAGCAGCAAGGTCGGCAGTTCAAACCCACCAGCCACTCCTTGGAAACTCAGGGTTGCTGTGAGTCAGAATTGGCTTGCTGGTACTTTACAACAACATGGTTTTGTATATAGATGCAACTACAGTACAGATTACTGTTCAAAAGGACTCATGTAATGCTGGTCTCTACAGGAACAAGACAGATGTTTGCCTTGGGCATCTGAATACAAATAGGCCATACAAGTTTAAATCCCTTCTTTCTCCATGAAGTTTCCCAACATAATTGGTGGATTCCAATGGCCTTTAGTTGCCTTTGGAGACAAAGGAACATCTTTCTTCTTAAGATGACTAAGTCTGGGATATACAGACGCGTAGAAGGTGTGGAGGGGCCTTGGAAGACACAATTACTTTTGGTCTAGAGCTGCATGGTGGTTGTTGAACATTAAACCAAAAAACAAACAAAAACTTATCTTAGGTCAATCCAAGACCCTGTATCAACTGACAACATCATTATTACTGGCACAATCTACTTCACTATATTGAAAAGATCTCACTTGCTTGAATTCTCAGCAATCCTAATAAGGTTTGTGACCTGTAGCTGACTCAAGTGAGGCTCACAAAGTTGTCTTCCTAGCAGAGGAGGGCTAACTAAATAATTTAACAGAATAGAAGCTCATCTAGTCCTGAAAAAGTGTTCAATTAATAGAGATTTGAAAGAATATTCTGCTCCACATTTATTCAAGGATCTGGGCTTCTTTCATCTTCTTGTGTCCATACATGCCATTAAATGGTACTCAAATATGTCCTGGAGTCCTGGTGGGGCACTGCTGGTTAATGCACAGGATGGTCAAGCTCACCAGCTGCACTTTGGAAACTCTGTACAGGCTCGCTAAGAGTAGGAACAGACTGGACAGCACTTAACAACAGGATATCCTGGAAGTCATTACCATTTTGTTCTGACAGAACCTTGGAATTTATTAAAAGTTTTTTTACCAGGCCTGAATGTAGCATATACATCATTGGTACTTATATTTCACTAACCAGTCACATACACCACCTGAATGCTAGGGAAATTAGGAAATTAAAACTAGCTATATGCCTAGGGAAAAATGAAATGAATTCTGGTGAACAAGTGTGATGTGTATGTGACAAACGGCATATGACTTTATTTAGAGACCTTTCCATGTTATCTTGAAATAGAAACCTGTGTGAATTCTGATACATTCTAAGTATTTTTCTTTAGACAGAATTCCATTATATCCACTGGGTTTCTCTACTGTGTGAATTTTCTTATCGACTGTGAACATTTCATTTCCTATATTCAATCCATTCACCTGTGAGTTCTCTGATATGAGATGGCCTTTTTGCCAAAATGACTTTCCACGCTATAATTATCAATAAGGTTTTATTCCTCGTTGGCTTCCCTGAGATACATTCACTTCTTCTATTTCCCATAGTCATTACATTCATAAGATTTCTCACCATTGTGAGTTTTTTGATGTATTCTGAGGTTTGACTTCTGGCTAAAGGGTTTCCCACATTCATTACATTGAAAGGGTTTCTCCCCTGTATGAATTCTCTGATGATCACTAAGAATTGCCTTCCGGACAAATTTTTTCCCACATTCATTACATTGAAATGGTTTCTCCCCAGTATGAATTCTCTGATGTACTCTCAGGGTTGATGTTCGGGCAAATGCTTTTCCACATATGTTACATTTAAATGGTTTCTCTCCTGTATGAGTTTTTTGGTGTTGAATGAGATGGTCTTTTCGCCAGAAGGATTTTTCACATTTAGTACACTGGTAAGATTTTTCCCCACTGTGAGTTCTTTGATGTATTCTGAGATTTGACTTCTGACCAAAAGTTTTTCCACATTCATTACACTGAAAAGATTTCTCCCCTGTGTGAATTCTATGATGATCTCTGAGGGTTGACTTCTGAACAAAAGTTTTCCCACATTCACAACATTCATAGGGTTTCTCACCTGTGTGAATTCTTTGATGTCCCCGGAGGGTTGACTTCTGGACAAAAGTTTTCCCACATTCGGTACATTTATAGGGTTTCTCTGCTGTGTGAATTCTCTGATGAGTACTGAGGTGTGACTTCTGGGAGAAAGTTTTTCCACATTCGTTACATTCAAATGGTTTTTCTCCTGTGTGAGTTCTCTGATGTTGAATGAGATGTCCTTTTTGACAGAAGGATTTCCCACACTCACTGCATTTATAGGGTTTTACCTCTGAGTGAGTTTTCTGACATATTTTGCGGGCTGGTGTCAAGCAAGATTTCCCATTTTTATTATATTCAAAGGACTTATCCCCAGTCCTTGTTCTGTCATTATGTACAAGCAGATGTTCTCCTATGACAGTTCTCTGAAGGTAAGTGAATTCTGACTTCCTGCTAAAATTATTCCCTCTTTTATTACATTCATAGTATTTCATAGCCATATGAACTTTACAGCATTCCACAACAGCTGGTTTCTCACAGAAAGATTTCCCACGATGGTTAAGATGAGAACATTTCTTCTTTGTGCCAGCTACTTTGCGATCAAATACAGTTGTCTTATAATGGGTTATCTTATCGTTATTATCTTTCCAGTCTTTCTCTTCTGAATTAGAACTCTTATATGTAATACAGGCAGCTTTATCATTGAAGGCTTTTCCAAATTTATTACATTTACAAGTTTGCTTTGAAGCCTGAAATCTTCGATTCTCAGGTAGATCTTTCTTGTAAGTGAGAGCTTTCGTGGTTTTATTATTACATTCAGAAGCTTCTTCTCGAGCGTGAGTTCTTTCAAATTTAACACTGAAAGGTAAATTCTCACATACAACTTTCTTTGTTGAATGGGTTCTATTATTAATATTAAATTCAGAAATATTTTGTGAATTCAATCCCCATGAGTCATATTTATAAGATATTTTTGTTGAAGAAGCAGGAGCTTGGTGTATATTAAATGGTTTTTCAAAAACTTTCTCTTCTTCTTTGGCCGTTGTTTCATTGCTGATAAATATTATTTGTTGCAAGTGTTTATCTTTGATTTTCTTATTCCTCTTGATCTTGTAATCTTCTAAAGTAAGAAAAAAATGAAAGCATCACATAAATGTTACATTTCTTATGGGTGGGGCTTAAGAGACATATCACCAGTGTATTGTGTATTCCATTCTTTGGTTCCTTAATATTAAATAATTTACATTCAAGTGGACTTCAAAAAGTTTATGGAAAAATTCCATTTTCCCATAATCTTTGTGAAGCTCCCTTGTATATGTGTATGCAAATAAATCCTCTGACATCCATCCTTTTAAAAAAATTTACAAATTTTATATGTGAGTTAGTTCAGGAAGCAGGAAAAATCAGAGAATGGGACAAATATAACAAGGACTATAAAATTCCCTAAGGAGCTCTGGTAGCATAGTGGTTAGGAATTGGGCTGTGAACTGCAAGATCAGCAGTTTGAAACTACCAGCTGCTCCGTGGGAGAAAGAAGAGGCTTTCTGCTCCCATAAACATTTATAGCCTCAGAAACCCTGTGCAGTGTCACTATGGGTTGGAACCAAGTAGACAGCACTTAACAACAATAACAATAAACTTCCCTGGTTAGCGAAGCTTTTCTTAGTCACCTGGCTTCCACAGTGCAGTGGTTATCATGTTTGCCTCACACATGGAAGGTCTCTGGTTCAAAACGAGCGGAAGCAGCTCCATTTATGGAATCCAGGTGTGACACTGTAGGATAAGCACTGGACTGCTAACCACAAAGCTGGAGATTCACACTCATCAGTTGCTCCTTGGCAACCCTATACAGGGTTGCTGTGAGTCAGAACCAACTTGATGGCACTTAACAACTATATAAACTTAAGTATGTTGTTGTTGCTGACAAGTCAGTCTGACTTACAGCGACCCTGTATAGGATTTCCAAGGCTGTAAATCTTTGCCAGAGCAGAAAATTTAAGTATAGTAACAAGAAAATCAGGAGAAAATGGCATTCCTGGGATAGGTCCAAAGGGTTTAGCTTTAGAAGATACTTACAGTCTAAGTACTTACATTATCTAGAATATATTGACATTATACTTACTAGTGAACATTCTTCCAATTTTGATATATTTATTTTTCATTCTACAATTCAACGTCAAATTAAATTTGTAACAGTACCAACTTCCTCATGATTAAATGAAAGGAAAATCTATCCATGCACCTAATAAATTAGATTCACTACTCAATTCTGATTACAGTATATTTGATTTATTCTATCAAAACTGTACAAGTGAACTTGAATACTCCCATCCCTAATTTCCCACATTTCAATCTGTTCACTTATCTCTCCAAACCAGTCTTTTCCTTAACAGGAAAATAATCCTTACTATTTAAGAATCTGGGAGTGCAGTGGCTCCATGTGATAGGCATTGGACTACGAACCACAAGGTCCACAGTTTGAGCCTACGAGTCACTCTACGGCAGAAAGATGAGGCCTTCTGCTCCTGTGATGATTTAAAGACTTGGAAACCCTATACAGGGTTGACTATGAGTTAGAACCAACTCCATGACACTTAACATTTAAGAATCTAAAGGATTATATGTTGCAACCTGCTTTTAAAATCTAATATTCTTTGCATCTATGTTTATCATAAAAAATCATGTATATACTAAACTGTTACTAGCTTGTTACTGCCCACCTTCAGTGTAGCAATATGTACCCTATCATGGAATACTATTTCCTGAAGACATTCTCCATACTTTCATCTACTGTGTTCATCTTTCTTTATAATCCCTTAAAATGGTACTTGTGGTTAAAAGTCCTTTTCTTCTAACTCAGTATTTGGATTATCTGAGGGTTAGTGGAGCTGTAGGATAAGGATTGATCATAAGGTCAGCTTGAACCACAAAGTTGAAACTTCAAACCTATTAGCTTGCTCCTCAGAAACCCTATACAGAGTCACTAAGAGTTGTTGTTGTTATGTGCCGTGGAGTCGATTACGACTCATAGTGACCCTGTACAGGGTTTCCGAGGCTGTAAAACTTTACAGGAGCAGAACGCCTCATCTTTCTCCTGCAGAACAGCTAGTTGGTAATTTTGAACTGCTGACCCTTAGATTAGCAGCCCAATTTGTAACAATTACGCTACCAGAACCAACTAAATGACACTTAACAACAACCTCCCAATTACTTTTCTTTCACTTATCTATTATATTCTCCTGCTTCCTTTAATGTTTAGAAATGTTTGTTACTGTATGCTGGACATTCTGTTTTTATGATATATGTATTTCACAAGGATGTATACCATTTCCTCTATTAGGGATAGGAAGTGAGTAACTGACAAACTCAAGCTATGATACTTAAGATTTTGTGTCAACTTGGCTTTGTCAGGATCCTCAGTGGTTTAGCAGTTGAGATGTAATTATCACTTCCAGGATGAGATTTAATATGACACAATCACCCCCATGTTGTGACTGATGTGATCATCTGATCTAATTACCCTTTGTGTTGTAAATTCTCACTTCTATGATGTTAATGAGGTCAAATGCAGTCTATAGGATTATATTGTATCTTGAGTTAATCTCTTTTGGGATACAAAAAAACAAAATTGGCAGAGAAAGAGGAACCTATTGGCGCCAAGAAAGAAGACCTGGGAGTGGACCTGGGGTCCCTGTGCTGTGAAGTTCCTAGATCCAGGGGAAGATTTATGCCAAGACATAAGGAGATCTCAAAGGAATATTGGGCCTACTGATGCTTAAAGGAGACCTAGGCCGTTTTTCAGAGTCAACAAAGAGAAAGTTTTCCCCTAGTCCCTACACTCTGAATTTGGACTTCTAGCCTCCTAAACTGTGAGAGAATAAATTTCTGGTTATTAAAGCCATCCATTTGTGGTATTTGTATTAAAGCAGCATTAGATAATAAGACACAAGTCAATTAAAAACCAAGGTAAGTCAGGCCTAGGTTTTGAGTTTTATTAAAAGAGTTGTTGTTGTTGTTTTTAAGTGCCATCAAGTCGGTTCCGACCCATAGCGACCCTGTACAGGGTTTCTGAGGGTGTAAATCTTTACGGGAGTAGAAAGCCTCATCTTTCTCCCATGGAGCGGCTGGTAGTTTCAAACCGCTGACCTTAAGGTTCACAGCCCAATTCGTAACCACTACGCTACCAGAGCTAGTGCACACTTAATGTTCCAGTATGAGTGAACCAATCTCCCAAATGACAATCATGCAAATATTGTTTTTCTTAGCCTTGAAAGATTGTGGGAGAACCAACAGTGCCCTGCAAACTCCTCATCCTAATCCCTTTTAGCTTCCACATGTGCAAAACATTAATATCTGGTATACTGGGGTGTTTGAAGGTGAACTTCTACCTCATTGGGTAGTTGTAACCTAAACACAGTAAGATAGCAGGTGATTTTATTCTATTTTTTTAGAAGTCTTCACCCTAGTTCCCCGTGCAGGCCCCAAACTCAGTAAACATATTGTAGAGAAAAATCAGTTGTACATTCGTGGTTTCTGACTTTACAGTTTGTAATTCCAGCCCTACACAATGACTATAAGCATTTCTTGGCACTGGCCTTCAGCCTATTCTAGGTGTTTAACTAGCAAACATGCTAGGAAAACACTGGCATGCAATCCTCAGCGAAACTACAAATAATCCTTTCCACACTAGAATCTTAGACCATCTAGTCCTTGTTGCTTCCACAGTTCTTAATCATGCCTTTAAAAACAGCAGTTTTTAAAAAAGTCTTTTTTTTTTTTTTTTCTAGTTGTTGTATAGGACCAAAGAGAAGAATCCATTTCGTATATAAGCTTCAGCACGTCCTCTAGCTCCAAGAAAATGATATATGTATAAATAGCCAGGCAGCTCAAGGCCAGAGGCCAGATGTTTTCCTTTACCCTATCCTAAGAACAAAGACCACCTGTCTTGACCAATTAAACTGTAACATCTCATAGTTTGCCAATTGTTAACCAATCCAAAGATTGTAAAGCTGAGAAACCTGAGCTGTTTGAAAACTCTATAAAAACCCTGCAGACAAAAAGTTCAGGGCTCTTTCCCTATTCTGCTGCGTCGGATAAGGTTAGAGACCTGGCTTGAGCTTGAATAAACAACCCTTATGTATTTACATCGGTACACAGCTCCTGGGTGTTCTTTGGGGACCCCGAATTCTGGGCATAACAGTTGTAGCAGGCCTGTCATCTTCCCCAGAATTTGTATTTCTTTGTATTTCAGCTATTCTGAGTCATTATTTTTTAACCATTTGCCTCACTGGAAGCAGAATTTATCTTATAAAATGGATGTAATGTCATACAATTCACTTACAGAATTATTTCCCTTATAATTGGTGCCTTTTTCCCATTCTATGAAATATTTCAAGTATCCCTTATGAAAAGTAGAATTTTAAATAGTTTATGCAGCTTTGTTCTCCTACAGCTTAGACTCCTGGCAGATGCTACTATATCTCTAATTTCTTTTAAGCTCTTTGGGCTCAGACATGCTGTGCTCTCAAGAGTGACTTGGAGCTCTTTCTCATACAGGAATTCACTGTCCTCATGCCAGTCATAACTGACTTATAGGAAGTAACAAGGATGTGTCTTGAATGTATGTGTTTAGAAAGGGTTACCTTATAATGATTTCTAAATGACTAATTATGACGGTTTCTCCAATACTGATTTTATAGTCAGTTAACATGATGGTGATACATATTATACATACCAGAGTCTAAAAGAGTAAAATAAAGGACATTTTCTTCCTTTGTTGGTGACTCATAATCTTTTGAGGAAAGAAATTTCATTTATAGGTTTCTTAAACTAGGCAATATTAATATTTGAGGCTGGATAATTATTCATTGTAGGGGGCTATCTTGTACATTATAAGATAGTTAGGAACATGCCTAGCCTCTACCAACTAGATGCCAGTAGCATCTCTCTCTCTGGGGGGAAAGAGCAAAACTGACTCTGCTTGAGAACCCTGTACAAATTATATGCTAGAAAATATTGACAGATATGAATACATTTTAATTTCTGTGGTACAGTCACTAAGCAGGCTGGGAAATTGGAGACAGAAGAGATAAATGTAAGATACAACATTCATGGATGAGT